TGCTTTTTAACCTACTGCCCCTTCTGAAATGCTTCATGCCAGTATGAGCTGAACCCCAGTCAGGGCCAGCATCAAAGGTAGGCAGCATTGGGCTCCTGCCAGGGCCCTTCACCCCAGCAGGGGCCCAAAGGCAAGAACATTGGTGGCAGCACTGGGAAGGAAGGAGACTCACTGAAGAAGGGATGGGCTTTGAGCCAGACGTCTTGTGCAAAGGCCCTCCACAACCTGGAGCCAGTCCCGGCTTAGAACTTCCTGGGTCATGTCAGGATTTGCCTTTATCACCATGGCCAGTCATCCCTCCTTCTTTCTCCAGCTCTCCTTGCTTTGTTACATACTGACATAACACTGGCAGTAGCAGGAGAGCTGCAGGTGCCCCTCGGGGGACTTCCCAACTCCCTGGATCTGAAAAGTGCTGCTTGGGCGCCAGGGCACTTGGGAGATGTTGTTTCCCACAACGCTCAGGTCCAGCTGCTGGTGTTCTTCCACCACAGGTAAGCTCTGGGAAGCAGGCAGGGGAAGAGAGACTTGGGCATTTGGGGAAAGGAATGGTTTAGATGGGCCCATTACGGCATCACTGGTAGTGTCCCAGAGTTTCCAAATTCAGAAATCAGCTCAATGAAACAAAGCCGGTATGCTTTGCAGTGGGTGCTGGGATCATTTTTGCTGAACCTCCCTCCAAATCAAGCAAAGGGGAGTTCATCTGTCAGTAGAAACATGCAGAGCTGATGGAACTGACCTCAGTCAAAAAGGAAAGAAATGTGCGTCTGCAGCTCATGGGATTGAAGGGAAGAGAAATAGACTTCTGATGGGAAGCAGCAGGTCTTTCTTCAATGCCAAATTACAAGGGACCCTCCCACTGAAGCTCCATAGATTTCAGGGACGCAGAATTCCTGCCATGTTCCCAGATCCATTCAATGCAGTACGTCAGCTGTTACCAACTTGCCAGAGTTCAAAGCACATCTTTGATTTCTCCGCAAACTTATTCTAAACACCATTGCCATTCTTTTCTAAAAGTATGCTTTATCAAAGAAGCCAGAATACAAAGCCTTTGACCCTGAAGTGATGGTGGTCCAGCCTTACCAGGACCAGACTTTCCAGCCCATCTATTTTGTAGCAGAACATTTTGAGGATGCCAAGTCTCAGCTCCAGTAAGTATGACAAAATAGCATCTACTCAGCAAATCTAGGGTACCATCCCGGCATAGCTGATCTGGCCTTCAGTGAAGTATATTAGAAATGGATGGAGAGGGAATTCCAGCACTCCCGTTCCTCATAATTGTTGGGGTGCCACCCATGGTCTTTGACGTGTGCAGCGAGGGGAGGGGGGAAAGTGAGGCTGAGCTCTGGGGAGATTCACAGGTGCGACACTCAGACTTCAAAGCATCATCCTAGGGGTGGGATTTGGGGAGCAAAGGCTGTCTCGATAGCTAGAGAATGGACCCATTATTTAACCCTTTGCTTGTGTTAGATTGCTTTTTAAAAAGTACAAGTAATTAGAAAGTTGATCCGGTTTATTTTTACTTTCTGTTGATCAAAAGATCACACTCATGCCAATCAATAGGCTATTTTGTGGAATCGCTTCAGGCATACTGTGGTCAGTTCATTTGAATGAAGAGTCAGCAAGCAAGTTGTCCAGTGCCACAAGTTTAAAAAAAAAAGGGGGGGGAGGTTGTGAGTCCTTTTAACCCCTTCTAAAGGTATTACAGGCACACAGGTAATGTTTTGGCTATGTTGCTGCAGGTGGAGAACTCGAGTGGTGTGGCTCAGGGGAGAAAGCACATGTTTTGCAATTAGAAGGACCTGGGTTCAGTTCCCAGCACCACCAGGTGGACCTGGAGGAAAAATATTCTGCCTGAAACCCCTGCCTGGATCATTACACCCCTGTAACAATTTTTTACATGATGAATTGTTAAGGATGCTGTGAATCTGAAATAGTGCTGTCTTTTCCTTTTACTGGGACGAGAACAAGGTCCACAGCAAAGGTGGGCACGGTCTGGCGCCTGCCAGGGCCACCCCTCAGTGCCAGCTCACTGACGAGGCCTCCCTGGAGTGGCCCCTCCTCCTCCCCCCCCTCCTTCCGCCCGCAACTTGCTTGTTTACCTGTCTCATACTTTGGGCCTGCCAACCGTGGTGGTAAAAAGAAGGGGCAGAAGATGCCACTGTCTGCTTGGTCAATGGCTTGTCAAGCAAGAAGAGCTGACAATAATGAGAAAGAGGATGGGGAAGAAAAGCAGCTGGGGAGGAGGCGGAGGCGGGGGGGGGGCTGTTGATGGTGCTATGCTTGGGGCAGAGGGGACATGCTTTTCTCTGTGAATGAGCAGTCTTCTGAAAAATGATAAACTATCTTTGGATTATTATTTTCCTCAACAGGAAATACGCCCTTACGATCAAGAAGCCCTTTACTCTTCATTACAACCCCTTCACCTGCAGTGTAGAGGTCCTTGATTCTCCACAGAAAATGAAAGAAATCATCAGTCACCTAAAAGAAGAGCTGAAAAACCTCTGCCAGGCTTTTGAAAAACTTGCTTAGAATGGTTGGCTGAATCCAGCTTCCCCCAAGCCTCCATGTATGTGTAACACCAACTTCCAGCATCCCCATCCAGCATGGCACTGTTGCTAGCTTTCTTTCGCTATATCTGTCCAAACTGTTTTTTCTGAGTCCATTAGTCATGGGGGCTGGGGATGATGGGCATTCTACTCTGACATGTCTGGAAAACACCAGTTTGGGTTAGACCGACCATATCTATTTCCAGTATTAGATAATGATTAGAGAAATGTCTTTTGCAGCACCAAATCTTGTATTTGTAGGTGTTCCTGGAAGCGGAACTAAATTGATCAACTGGCTTGTTTTTCATAGTCAACCCGTAGTAAAAAAAAAAAAGGCACATGGTTTGTGAAAGTGACAATCAATTTGCGTTTATGTGTGGCGAGAATCCCTTGGCTTTTAAGCGTGAGAGGAATCTTCTCATGCATACAGCGCATTTTTAAGGGGAAAAAAGCATAAAGCCATTTTCATTCCTTGCAGCGGGTGGATTCTTTGAATGAACGCTGCTGAACCAGAGCAGAGGCCTGTTCTCTTCCTTCCAGATGCCCCGCAGGGAAAATCCAGCAACATCCTCCTCCCTCCTGTGTTCCTCAGACACATGCTTCTTATGACACCTTCCCCCAACCTGGTGTCCTTCCGATGTGTTGGACAACAAATCCCATCATTCCAAGCCACCAAATGCAATGATAGTGTTCTCTGGATGGCTCACAGACAATAAAGGCCATGAAAGGGCATCACAATACAAGCATGACAAAAACAACAGAGAACTTCTAACTTTAAAACCAGCATAAAAAGTAGCCACGGCGTAGAAAAAATTACATGAAGTCTGCAAATTTTAAAAGAAATTCAAAGCCTGTTTAGTGGCGTCAAAGGATCACAGTCTATAAGATTATGGAAGCGACAGCGACAAAACTTCAAATGTGCAAAGGGCAAGCTCATACATAGTGCCTGAGAACAACGCCCTCTCGCTTGTGCTCCGCCACAGTGCCTGCAGAGACACATTGGAGGCAATGGGGAGCTGTCTTGGCTAGCCACCGTTGATGGCCTTCCCTTGGAATTTGTCCACTTCCCTTTCGGAGCCATACAAATTGGTTGCCATCACTGAATCTTGCAGCAGTTACCTTCATAGTTAAGCTAAAGTCCCTGATGTAAAAGGTCCCGAACGCCTGCCTCCTCCCATATGAACCTGCCCGCCCCTTAAGGTCAGGTCAGCAGGACTTCTGCAAGTACCGTCCCTCAAAGAGGTGAGAGGGAGGGCAAATAGATGAAGGGCCTTCTCGGTGGCTACTCCCTGCCTTTGGAATAGTCTCCCTGTCATGCGCGCGCGCTCGGGTGAGATTCCCAGGTGTGTATGAGCGATGGAGGGCTTTGGTGGGAATGGTGGCTCAGACCCGGAGGAAGGGGGCTGGATAGCTGAGCCAGCCATGCCTCAGAGCTGGCACTCTGACACTGGAGCTGTTGAGACAATCGAGGCCCCGGCTGCCCAAACTCTCCTGCTAAGCCAGCCTGAGCCAGCTCTGAATCAAAGCACTTCAAGGACAACCACAGAGCGCCCCCCCCCCCCGGGTTGTGGGAAAGAAGCCGGCAGAGAACAGGCTGGGAAGGGGTCTTTGGGAGGAGAACTTGACACTCCTGGGAACATGGAGACGAGCCTGTTGATGCACCCACCAGAGAGACTGATTAGGGGCTCAATGGGAAGAACATTGGCGGAGCTACTTCCATGGAGTGCCTCCTTCCAGAGACCAGCCCTGAAGGGTTCGTCAGCCAAGCTCTGGGTGAAGCGGGGCAGAAGGAGGGGTTAACATTCCTCCTGGTGTGTGTGTGTGTGTGTGTGTGTGTGTGTGTGTGTTCCGAGACTTGTGAACATGTTGACTTCTGTATGGAATAAAGACTCTTCCAATAATTGCTGAAGTGCCTGTCGTGTTTTGGAGGGAACTCCTAGCTCATAACACTCCCTAGGGACATCCACCTGGTGCCATCTCTATTATTCTTTTGGCGCTAGGCTAAAATGTTCCTTTTTAATATTTTTTTTTAGCAATCGATCCCTCCCTCCCTTTCACTGTTTCCTTTGTTGTTGTAAATTTTGTAATTTTGAAAATGAAGCTTTCTATTCTTTATTGATTCTTATATGTACTTTCATTTTTTTCTTGTA